TGAGATGAAGGATGTTCGGTAATACGAAGTTAGAGAATGGGTTATGCACTCCACCTTCCACCGACATAACATGTTCCAATTAAGGAAACATACCACACAAGAAGAATATTTACAAATGGACTGGCAGCAGCAACAACCACAACAGAAGTTGTAAATATTCGAAGACATTGCTGAAATAAATGGCAGAAGAGGACGAGGAAATCTGATGATGATGTTTGTCATGTCATGTGTGGTTATATGGAGGTTAAGTGGAGTGGATACTGGAGGTTAACAATGGCGTAAAGCCAAGAAACAAATCTAAAAAATATTCTTTAAAAAATCCACGCCTGTGTTGGACCCTTGAAAAAATATTCTTTAAAAAATCCACGCCTGTGTTGGACCCTTGAAAAAATATTCTTTAAAAAATCCACGCCTGTGTTGGACCCTTGAAAAAATATTCTTTAAAAAATCCACGCCTGTGTTGGACCCTTGAAAAAATATTCTTTAAAAAATCCACGCCTGTGTTGGACCCTTGAAAAAATATTCTTTAAAAAATCCACGCCTGTGTTGGACCCTTGAAAAAATATTCTTTAAAAAATCCACGCCTGTGTTGGACCCTTGAAAAAATATTCTTTAAAAAATCCACGCCTGTGTTGGACCCTTGAAAAAATATTCTTTAAAAAATCCACGCCTGTGTTGGACCCTTGAAAAAATATTCTTTAAAAAATCCACGCCTGTGTTGGACCCTTGAAAAAATATTCTTTAAAAAATCCACGCCTGTGTTGGACCCTTGAAAAAATATTCTTTAAAAAATCCACGCCTGTGTTGGACCCTTGAAAAAATATTCTTTAAAAAATCCACGCCTGTGTTGGACCCTTGAAAAAATATTCTTTAAAAAATCCACGCCTGTGTTGGACCCTTGAAAAAATATTCTTTAAAAAATCCACGCCTGTGTTGGACCCTTGAAAAAATATTCTTTAAAAAATCCACGCCTGTGTTGGACCCTTGAAAAAATATTCTTTAAAAAATCCACGCCTGTGTTGGACCCTTGAAAAAATATTCTTTAAAAAATCCACGCCTGTGTTGGACCCTTGAAAAAATATTCTTTAAAAAATCCACGCCTGTGTTGGACCCTTGAAAAAATATTCTTTAAAAAATCCACGCCTGTGTTGGACCATTGAAAAAATATTCTTTAAAAAATCCACGCCTGTGTTGGACCCTTGAAAAAATATTCTTTAAAAAATCCACGCCTGTGTTGGACCCCTGAAAAAATATTCTTTAAAAAATCCACGCCTGTGTTGGACCCTTGAAAAAATATTCTTTAAAAAATTCACGCCTGTGTTGTACCACGCCTTGGGTAGGCCTTGAAAAAATATTCTTTAAAAAATTCACGCCTGTGTTGTACCACGCCTTGGGTAGGCCTTGAAAAAATATTCTTTAAAAAATCCACGCCTGTGTTGGACCCTTGAAAAAATATTCTTTAAAAAATCCACGCCTTGGGTAGGCCTTGAAAAAATATTCTTTAAAAAATCCACGCCTATTTGTTAGGCCTTGAAAAAATATTCTTTAAAAAATCCACGCCTATTTGTTAGGCCTTGAAAAAATATTCTTTAAAAAATCCACGCCTATTTGTTAGGCCTTGAAAAAATATTCTTTAAAAAATCCACGCCTATTTGTTAGGCCTTGAAAAAATATTCTTTAAAAAATCCACGCCTATTTGTTAGGCCTTGAAAAAATATCCTTTAAAAAATCCACGCCTATTTGTTAGGCCTTGAAAAAATATTCTTTAAAAAATCCACGCCTTGGGTAGGCCTTGAATAAATATTCTTTAAAAAATCCACGCCTTGGGTAGGCCTTGAAAAAATATTCTTTAAAAAATCCACGCCTATTTGTTAGGCCTTGAAAAAATATTCTTTAAAAAATCCACGCCTATTTGTTAGGCCTTGAAAAAATATTCTTTAAAAAATCCACGCCTATTTGTTAGGCCTTGAAAAAATATTCTTTAAAAAATCCACGCCTATTTGTTAGGCCTTGAAAAAATATTCTTTAAAAAATCCACGCCTATTTGTTAGGCCTTGAAAAAATATTCTTTAAAAAATCCACGCCTTGGGTAGGCCTTGAAAAAATATTCTTTAAAAAATCCACGCCTTGGGTAGGCCTTGAAAAAATATTCTTTAAAAAATCCACGCCTTGGGTAGGCCTTGAAAAAATATTCTTTAAAAAATCCACGCCTTGGGTAGGCCTTGAAAAAATATTCTTTAAAAAATCCACGCCTTGGGTAGGCCTTGAAAAAATATTCTTGAAAAAATCCACGCCTTGGGTAGGCCTTGAAAAAATATTCTTGAAAAAATCCACGCCTTGGGTAGGCCTTGAAAAAATATTCTTTAAAAAATCCACGCCTTGGGTAGGCCTTGAAAAAATATTCTTTAAAAAATCCACGCCTTGGGTAGGCCTTGAAAAAATATTCTTTAAAAAATCCACGCCTTGGGTAGGCCTTGAAAAAATATTCTTTAAAAAATCCACGCCTTGGGTAGGCCTTGAAAAAATATTCTTTAAAAAATCCACGCCTTGGGTAGGCCTTGAAAAAATATTCTTTAAAAAATCCACGCCTTGGGTAGGCCTTGAAAAAATATTCTTTAAAAACTCCACGCCTGTGGTAGACCCTGAAAAAATATTCTTTAAAAAATCCACGCCTGTGGTAGACCCTGAAAAAATATTCTTTAAAAAATCCACGCATGTGGTAGACCCTGAAAAAATATTCTTTAAAAAATCCACGCCTTGGGTAGGCCTTGAAAAAATATTCTTTAAAAAAGGCCTTGAAAAAATATTCTTTAAAAAATCCACGCCTTTGGTAGGCCGTGAAAAAATATTCTTTAAAAAATCCACGCCTTGGGTAGGCCTTGAAAAAATATTCTTTAAAAAATCCACGCCTTGGGTAGGCCTTGAAAAAATATTCTTTAAAAACTCCACGCCTTGGGTAGGCCTTGAAAAAATATTCTTTAAAAAATCCACGCCTGTGGTAGACCCTGAAAAAATATTCTTTAAAAAATCCACGCCTGTGGTAGACCCTGAAAAAATATTCTTTAAAAAATCCACGCATGTGGTAGACCCTGAAAAAATATTCTTTAAAAAATCCACGCCTTGGGTAGGCCTTGAAAAAATATTCTTTAAAAAAGGCCTTGAAAAAATATTCTTTAAAAAATCCACGCCTTTGGTAGGCCGTGAAAAAATATTCTTTAAAAAATCCACGCCTTTGGTAGGCCGTGAAAAAATATTCTTTAAAAAATCCACGCCTTTGGTAGGCCGTGAAAAAATATTCTTTAAAAAATCCACGCCTGTGGTAGACCCTGAAAAAATATTCTTTAAAAAATCCACGCCTGTGGTAGACCCTGAAAAAATATTCTTTAAAAAATCCACGCATGTGGTAGACCCTGAAAAAATATTCTTTAAAAAATCCACGCCTTGGGTAGGCCTTGAAAAAATATTCTTTAAAAAAGGCCTTGAAAAAATATTCTTTAAAAAATCCACGCCTTTGGTAGGCCGTGAAAAAATATTCTTTAAAAAATCCACGCCTTTGGTAGGCCGTGAAAAAATATTCTTTAAAAAATCCACGCCTGTGGTAGATAGACCCTGAAAAAATATTCTTTAAAAAATCCACGCCTGTGGTAGACCCTGAAAAAATATTCTTTAAAAAATCCACGCCTGTGGTAGACCCTGAAAAAATATTCTTTAAAAAATCCACGCATGTGGTAGACCCTGAAAAAATATTCTTTAAAAAATCCACGCCTGTGGTAGACCCTGAAAAAATATTCTTTAAAAAATCCACGCCTGTGGTAGACCCTGAAAAAATATTCTTTAAAAAATCCACGCCTGTGGTAGACCCTGAAAAAATATTCTTTAAAAAATCCACGCCTGTGGTAGACCCTAAAAAAATATTCTTTAAAAAATCCACGCCTGTGGTAGACCATGAAAAAATATTATTTAAAAAATCCACGCCTGTGGTAGACCCTGAAAAAATATTCTTTAAAAAATCCACGCCTGTGGTAGACCATGAAAAAATATTCTTTAAAAAATCCACGCCTGTGGTAGACCCTGAAAAAATATTCTTTAAAAAATCCACGCCTGTGGTAGACCCTGAAAAAATATTCTTTAAAAAATCCACGCCTGTGGTAGACCATGAAAAAATATTCTTTAAAAAATCCACGCCTGTGGTAGACCCTGAAAAAATATTCTTTAAAAAATCCACGCCTTGAAAAAATATTCTTTAAAAAATCCACGCCTTGAAAAAATATTCTTTAAAAAATCCACGCCTTGAAAAAATATTCTTTAAAAAATCCACGCCTTGAAAAAATATTCTTTAAAAAATCCACGCCTTGGGTAGGCCTTGAAAAAATATTATTTAAAAAATCCACGCCTTGGGTAGGCCTTGAAAAAATATTATTTAAAAAATCCACGCCTTGGGTAGGCCTTGAAAAAATATTCTTTAAAAATCCACGCCTGTGTTGTACCCTTGAAAAAATATTCTTTAAAAAATCCACGCCTGTGTTGGACCCTTGAAAAAATATTCTTTAAAAACTTAACGCCTTGGGTAGGCCTTGAAAAAATATTCTTTAAAAAATCCACGCCTTGGGTAGGCCTTGAAAAAATATTCTTTAAAAACTCCATGCCTTGGGTAGGCCTTGAAAAAATATTCTTTAAAAACTCCATGCCTTGGGTAGGCCTTGAAAAAATATTCTTTAAAAAATCCTCACCTTGAGTAGGCCTTGAAAAAATATTCTTTAAAAAATCCACGCCTTGGATAGGCCTTGAAAAAATATTCTTTAAAAAATCCACGCCTTGGGTAGGCCTTGAAAAAATATTCTTTAAAAAATCCATTTTTTTTATTTCGTAATTAATTTTTATTTCGATTTCCGAACCTTGCAACTAAGTATAGTAATACTTCCAAGAAAAATGTTTGCTGGGATATTCTTATATTTTCCTCCATTTCTGCCATAATCAGTATCCTCCACATGACCCTCGCTTTATTCCCATGCCTGATTGGCCGCCAAATATAAAGCGAACAATGTTTGCACGCTCAACAAATAGTCCGCCTGTGTCTCAAGTGGTCCCTGTAGCTCAAACTGTTGACAGAGGACGCGAACATAATCAATGACCGTCTGTTGGCCAGCCGCACATTGTTGGTAAGCCTGCTGAACAGTGCCGGCCACGCTGGCATATGAACGTGGCCAATCGATAATGATGTTCTCGATGTCCTTACGTGGCTGGACATCATAAACGGATTGTGTCATATGGACCTGTTCCACTTCGTTTATCCATTTGTCGATGTCTTTATTCGATTTGGCCACGGGTACCATGGTAGCCGATGAGGAACGGGCATGACTGCCACTACCCGTGAGGGCGGATCGCAGTTTCATATTTAACAGACTCGGTTCACTTTGGCTACCCGAAGGTTCATCGAGAAAGTAAAGGCCAAGTTTCTGCAAATGTTCTTCTACCTCACGTCCCCTTTGAGGGCTGAGCATTGGAGGTTCTGTTACCCTGATGAAGGCATCAACATCACCCACAGCTGGTACAAAGTCGGGGATGAAAGGTTGCAAGTGATAGGCCGTTTCAATGTGCTGCGGAATATATTTCAAAATATAAGGGAACAGATCCTTAACTTCTTGGGGAACTTGCAAAGCTTCCCATTTATCAGGTGTTATGGACATTTGTGCGGCATCCCAATTGGGAGTGTAGTCTCCTGCGGCTCCCTTTGACTCATCTCCGCCACCTTCTTCACTATCCGTCTCAGAGGCTTCGGAATCGTTATCCAACACCTTTGCTGTTGGTAGATTCATTTTCATACGAGAGCTACCAGGACGTAGGGGGTTAGTGCGGGCCATAGCACCACCAACTGCACCACCACTATTACGTTTCATAAATTCCGGTGGGGATTCTTTGTGTATGGGTTGTATGGAGGGCTTGGCTTCCATTTGTATTTCACTATCATCCTCCTCATCGTCATCATCTTCGTCATCGTCGTGGTCCAAAATGTCCTGCAACAGACCATCATCATCGGTGGAGTTGCCATGGATCTGTGAAGAAAAATATTTTTTAGAAGACCTGGAAAATATTTTTTTAAAAAATCCACGCCTTAGGAGGACCTTGAAAAATAATTTTCTAAAAAACAATTTTTTAAATCCTTGCCCAGCAATTCTTACCATTGTCCTTTGTCGAGGCCTTCCAACCATATCCATACTGCTACGTTGTAATGCATTTCCACTTCCTGCTCGTTGTTGGGCAGCACCACCAGCCATAACAGATCTGCCGCTACCCAAGGCAGCCGCTGCTTTATCGCTATTGCTTCCGCGACTAGAGATACGTTCTACCTTGGCATTGTTCGAGGATGAAGGTGGTTTCATGCCCACCGCTCCAGTCATAGCATTCACTGGAATCTCTTCATCATAGTAGTTCATGATAAGAGCCTCGAAGAGAATGAAAACGGAACAAGTTGTAGGTTATTTGTGGTATATGATGATGGTGATGACGTTGCTCCTCTAATGTTTATCCGCTATCCGCCGTTGTTTCTATTCTCGTTCGGTCTTTTGTATTATTTTTCAGGATATTTGCCGTGTGACTTGTTTTCTTTGTTGTTGTTTCTGGTTTTTTTTCGAAAAGGGAAAGGATTATATTTTCCAGTTATGGTTTTCCTCTTTTGCGGATTTTTCGTTTGTTACAACAAAAAGCCAACCTCCAAGTTGTTGGCTATTGTTTCAGCTGTATATTTTTTTCCGTCAGGTTCATTGAAAAGCTACACCAGTAATTATGGCCACCAGTAGAGTGGCAGTGGTTACCTTGGCAACAAGCACCGGTCCGGCTGGTTGGTAGCCTTGGTAATGTGAAATTGTAGTTAACCAGGAGTCCTTAAAAAATAATCGGGTTTAAGAAAGTAATCGGATTTTACAAATATTTTTAAGGTCTATAAGACGCGTGGATTTTTTAAAGAAAAATTTTCAGGGTCCAATAGAGGCGTGGATTTCTTAAAGAATATTTCTCAGGGTCCATTAGAGGCGCGGATTTTTAAATAATATTTTTTCAGGGCCTACCTAAGGCGTGGATTTTTTAAAGAATATTTTTCAGGGCCTACCCAAGGCGTGGATTTTTTAAAGAAAAATTTTCAGGGCCTACCCAAGGCGTGGATTTTTTTAAAGAATATTTTTTCAGGGCCTACCCAAGGCGTGGATTTTTTAAAGAATATTTTTTCAGGGCCTACCCATGGCGTGGATTTTTTAAAGAATATTTTTTTCAGGGCGTGGATTTTTTAAACAATATTTTTTCAGGGCCTACCAAAGGCGTGGATTTTTTAAACAATATTTTTTCAGGGCCTACCCAAGGCGTGGATTTTTTAAACAATTTTTTTTCAGGGCCTACCCAAGTCGTGGATTTTTTAAACAATATTTTTTCAGGGCCTACCCAAGGCGTGGATTTTTTAAACAATATTTTTTCAGGGCCTACCCAAGGCGTGGATTTTTAAAGAATATATTTTCAGGGCCTACCCAAGGCGTGGATTTTTTAAAGAATATATTTTCAGGGCCTACTCAAGGCGTGGCTTTTTTAAAGAATATTTTTTCAGGGCCTACCCAAGGCGTGGATTTTTTAAAGAATATTTTTTCAGGGCCTACCCAAGGCGTGGATTTTTTAAAGAATATATTTTCAGGGCCTACCCAAGGCGTGGATTTTTTAAAGAATATATTTTCAGGGCCTACCCAAGGCGTGGATTTTTTAAAGAATATTTTTTCAGGGCCTACCCAAGGCGTGGATTTTTTAAAGAATATTTTTTCAGGGCCTACCCAAGGCGTGGATTTTTTAAAGAATATTTTTTCAGGGCCTACCCAAGGCGTGGATTTTTTAAAGAATATTTTTTCAGGGCCTACCCAAGGCGTGGATTTTTTAAAGAATATTTTTTCAGGGCCTACCCAAGGCGTGGATTTTTTAAAGAATATTTTTTCAGGGCCTACCCAAGGCGTGGATTTTTTATATAATATTTTTTCAGGGCCTACCCAAGGCGTGGATTTTTTATAGAATATTTTTTCAGGGCCTACCCAAGGCGTGGATTTTTTAAAGAATATTTTTTCAGGGCCTACCCAAGGCGTGGATTTTTTAAAGAATATTTTTTCAGGGCCTACCCAAGGCGTGGATTTTTTAAAGAATATTTTTTCAGGGCCTACCCAAGGCGTGGATTTTTTAAAGAATATTTTTTCAGGGCCTACCCAAGGCGTGGATTTTTTAAAGAATATTTTTTCAGGGCCTACCCAAGGCGTGGATTTTTTAAAGAATATTTTTTCAGGGCCTACCCAAGGCGTGGATTTTTTAAAGAATATTTTTTCAGGGCCTACCCAAGGCGTGGATTTTTTAAAGAATATTTTTTCAGGGCCTACCCAAGGCGTGGATTTTTTATATAATATTTTTTCAGGGCCTACCCAAGGCGTGGATTTTTTAAAGAATATTTTTTCAGGGCCTACCCAAGGCGTGGATTTTTTAAAGAATATTTTTTCAGGGCCTACCCAAGGCGTGGATTTTTTAAAGAATATTTTTTCAGGGCCTACCCAAGGCGTGGATTTTTTAAAGAATATTTTTTCAGGGCCTACCCAAGGCGTGGATTTTTTAAAGAATATTTTTTCAGGGCCTACCCAAGGCGTGGATTTTTTAAAGAATATTTTTTCAGGGCCTACCCAAGGCGTGGATTTTTTATATAATATTTTTTCAGGGCCTACCCAAGGCGTGGATTTTTTAAAGAATATTTTTTCAGGGCCTACCCAAGGCGTGGATTTTTTAAAGAATATTTTTTCAGGGCCTACCCAAGGCGTGGATTTTTTAAAGAATATTTTTTCACGGCCTACCCAAGGCGTGGATTTTTTAAAGAATATTTTTTCAGGGCCTACCCAAGGCGTGGATTTTTTAAAGAATATTTTTTCAGAGCCTACCCAATGCGTGGATTTTTTAAAGAATATTTTTTCAGGGCCTACCCAAGGGGTGGATTTTTTAAAGAATATTTTTTCAGGGCCTACCCAAGGCGTGGATTTTTTAAAGAATATTTTTTCAGGGCCTACCCAAGGCGTGGATTTTTTAAAGAATATTTTTTCAGGGCCTACCCAAGGCGTGGATTTTTTAAAGAATATTTTTTCAGGGCCTACCCAAGGCGTGGATTTTTTAAAGAATATTTTTTCAGGGCCTACCCAAGGCGTGGATTTTTTAAAGAATATTTTTTCAGGGCCTACCCAAGGCGTGGATTTTTTAAAGAATATTTTTTCAGGGCCTACCCAAGGCGTGGATTTTTTAAAGAATATTTTTTCAGGGCCTACCCAAGGCGTGGATTTTTTATATAATATTTTTTCAGGGCCTACCCAAGGCGTGGATTTTTTAAAGAATATTTTTTCAGGGCCTACCCAAGGCGTGGATTTTTTAAAGAATATTTTTTCAGGGCCTACCCAAGGCGTGGATTTTTTAAAGAATATTTTTTCAGGGCCTACCCAAGGCGTGGATTTTTTAAAGAATATTTTTTCAGGGCCTACCCAAGGCGTGGATTTTTTAAAGAATATTTTTTCAGGGCCTACCCAAGGCGTGGATTTTTTAAAGAATATTTTTTCAGGACCTACCCAAGGGGTGGATTTTTTAAAGAATATTTCTTCAGGGCCTACCCAAGGCGTGGATTTTTTAAAGAATATTTTTTCAGGGCCTACCCAAGGCGTGGATTTTTTAAAGAATATTTTTTCAGGGCCTACCCAAGGCGTGGATTTTTTAAAGAATATTTTTTCAGGGCCTACCCAAGGCGTGGATTTTTTAAAGAATATTTTTTCAGGGCCTACCCAAGGCGTGGATTTTTTAAAGAATATTTTTTCAGGGCCTACCCAAGGCGTGGATTTTTTAAAGAATATTTTTTCAGGGCCTACCCAAGGCGTGGATTTTTTAAAGAATATTTTTCAGGGCCTACCCAAGGCGTGGATTTTTTAAAGAATATTTTTTCAGGGCCTACCCAAGGCGTGGATTTTTTAAAGAATATTTTTTCAGGGCCTACCCAAGGCGTGGATTTTTTAAAGAATATTTTTTCAGGGCCTACCCAAGGCGTGGATTTTTTAAAGAATATTTTTTCAGGGCCTACCCAAGGCGTGGATTTTTTAAAGAATATTTTTTCAGGGCCTACCCAAGGCGTGGATTTTTTAAAGAATATTTTTTCAGGGCCTACCCAAGGCGTGGATTTTTTAAAGAATATTTTTTCAGGGCCTACCCAAGGCGTGGATTTTTTAAAGAATATTTTTTCAGGGCCTACCCAAGGCGTGGATTTTTTAAAGAATATAATTTCAGGGCCTACTCAAGGCGTGGCTTTTTTAAAGAATATTTTTTCAGGGCCTACCCAAGGCATGGATTTTTTAAAGAATATCTTTTCAGGGCCTACCTAAGGCGTGGATTTTTTAAAGAACATTTTTTTAGGGCCTACCCAAGGCGTGGATTTTTTAAAGAATATTTTTTCAGGGCCTACCCAAGGCGTGGATTTTTTAAAGAATATTTTTTCAGGGCCTACCCAAGGCGTGGATTTTTTAAAGAATATTTATTTAGGGCCTACCTAAGGCGTGGATTTTTTAAAGAATATTTATTCAGGGCCTACCTAGGGCGTGGATTTTTTAAAGAATATATTTTCAGGGCCTACTCAAGGCGTGGCTTTTTTAAAGAATATTTTTTCAGGGCCTACCCAAGGCATGGATTTTTTAAAGAATATCTTTTCAGGGCCTACCTAAGGCGTGGATTTTTTAAAGAATATTTATTCAGGGCCTACCTAGGCCGTGGATTTTTTAAATAATATTTTTTCAGGGCCTACCCAAGGCGTGGATTTTTTAAAGAATATTTTTTCAGGGCCTACCCAAGGCGTGGATTTTTTAAAGAATATTTTTTCAGGGCCTACCCAAGACGTGGATTTTTTAAAGAATATTTTTTCAGGGCCTACCCAAGGCGTGGATTTTTTAAAGAATATTTTTTCAGGGCCTACCCAAGGCGTGGATTTTTTAAAGAATATTTTTTCAGGGCCTACCCAAGGCGTGGATTTTTTAAAGAATATTTATTCAGGGCCTACCTACGGCGTGGATTTTTTAAAGAATATTTATTCAGGGCCTACCTACGGCGTGGATTTTTTAAAGAATATTTTTTCAGGGCCTACCCAAGGCGTGGATTTTTTAAATAATATTTTTTTTAGGACCTAACTAAGGCGTGGATTTTTTAAATAATATTTTTTCAGGACCTACCCAAGGCGTGGATTTTTTAAATAATATTTTTTCAGGACCTACCCAAGGCGTGGATTTTTTAAAGAATATTTTTTCACGGCCTACCTAAGGCGTGGATTTTTTAAAGAATATTTTTCAGGGCCTACCCAAGGCGTGGATTTTTTAAAGAATATTTTTTCAGGGCCTACCTAAGGCGTGGATTT